CAAAAAGGACAGAAGTCAAATAAAGTAACTTCTCAAACCACAATGCTTTAAAAGTGGAAATGAGTCACAAAAAGAAAGGCAGGGAAAACTCAAACACATTGAAACTAAACAACATACTACTAAACAACCATTGAGTTAAAAAGCTCAAAGAGGAAATAAAAAGACTCCAAAAAACAAACAAGAATGAAGACACAAGAATGAAGAACACGAGGCGATAGTAAAAACTGTACTGAGGAAACTTCATAGTACCACAGGCATTCTTCAGCGAACAAGCCTTAAATAAGTAACCTAACCTCACATCTCCAGAAACCAGAAAAACAAAGGAGCCGAAGGGATAAAATTAAATTCAGAGTCAAAGTCAACAATTCAGGAATCAAAAACACAATACGAAAGATCAAACCAAAAGCTGGTTGCTGAAGGAATGAATAAAACCAACAAATCCTTACCTGCACTCACAAAGGGAAGAAAGAGAGAGGGAAAATGGATGGGTCAAATCAGAAATGAAAGAGAAATTACAACAGACACAACAGAAACATTAAAAAAAACTATACAAGATTATTATGAAACAACTTTGTATTACAGAATTAGAGAACCTAGTAGAAACGGATCAATTTTAAGACACTTAGAACTTTCCAAGGCTAAACCAGATATAGAAAACCTGATAGAAAAAGTTACTACCAAACTATAATCAAGAGTAATCAAATATTTCCTCCAAACAAAAGCCTTGGACTAAATGGGATCACTTAACTTAAACTTATTCAAACCATGAAAATATCTACTACCTATTCTTCTCAAGTTCTCCCAGAAAGTCAAAGAAATAAAACCTCTTCTACAACAGTTTCTACTAGGACAATATTATTACCAAACGAAGACAAAGACTGTTGGATAACATTGGCTTGTTCTTCACCCTCCATCCTGGCCACAGGGAGCAATAGGTTCATTGAGTAACACCCAACACAGTGCTCCCTAGATACTCCCATTCCTCTGTTTTAATCTTTAACTTCTCCTTTGTGCTCTACTTTCCCTATCCTCAAATCAGACCCTGGAACTTGTAAAGTCAGATTCCTTTGAAGACACTGGATTTTGTATATTCAAGTGAAATTTTGCTTTTCTCTTTCCTTTATGTCCTTTGCATAGTTCACTTTAGAGCAATATCCTTTTTGTATAGACACAAGAAGACAGTTAATGCTATGCTTTCATAACTTGGGAGTTAACTGACTCCAAATAACATTTACTCCTGGGAATCTGTCATATTTACTCAACTTATGCCTCAGTTTCCTTTAGTTCCTAACACCTCAAAAGGAGGGTCCTGACGAGGGATTTGGATAGACCCAGGGCAAGTCGTAAGCTACCCAAGCATCCAAAAGGGACAAGCTATAAGCTACCCTGGCATTGAAAACAGACAGGCCAAGCTCCTTAAAACATATAATAAGTTAAGAGCATGGTCATGGACAAACTCTGTGATGACCCAAAAGGAAGCAACTGAATAAGGATCCTGCTGGGGTTAGAAAAGACTAACCTGGCCTGAGGACTGTAGTCTGGGATATATAGCGAGATATCCCCAGGAAGAGACAACCTTTAAGCTTAATATATCTCTTACTGTGTCCGTACAAAATGACTAGAAATATTATTAAGAAATAAATTTAAAATGACTGCTTAAAAGGATACTGGCTAAGGAAAGGGAAAAGTAATACACCTTAGATGGTATTGTGCCCTTGGGCAGATCTTCTAACAGAATGAGATTTTGTCCTAGAAGAAGCTTCCCCTGAGGGAAGGGCTTTACATATGTTGATAGTGCTACCATACCTACTACACTTATTGCTACCTCCAACCCTTCATGATTTCTCTATAACTAAGAGACTGAGAGGCTGAGAGACTAGAATAGGGGTAGTGTGAGACAGGAATGGAAAGGAGACTAGAATAAATGGCAGCTGATCACCAACCAGCCTGGCCCCATTTCCTCCTTCATAGCCCGTCACCCTGGGCTTGCCAGGGTGAGGAGACAGCTCATGGTCACCACACATACCATGATGCATCCACACTTTGAACTCACAAGAGACAGTACTAAAAAGAATATCACAGATAATTTCCCTAATGAAAACAGATGTAAAGATCCTCAACAAAATTTCAGCAAACCAAATTTGACAACATAGTAAACATATCATAACAATATCGTAAAAATATCATAAGATCAAATGGGTTTTCTCCTAGGGATGCTAAGATAATTAAATACACACAAGCCAAGTAAGGTATATGCTCTAAGGTACACTGAAGACAAAGTTGGCAAAAGCCTCCATGACATTGAAGCTAATGGTACCTTCAAAGATGTCATGCCACTGGCCAAGCAAGTGAAAACAGAGATAGACAAATGGGACCATCTTAAACTAAGAAGCTTCTGCACCTCCAAAGAAACACTGACCAAAAAACAAAGACAGTTTACAGAATAGGAAAGGATATTCACTCAATACACATCCAACAAGGGGTTGATATCAAGGATATACAAAGTACTGGTTGAACTCCACAAGAAGAAAACATACAACCCCATCAAAAAATGGGGCAATGAAATGAACAGAAACTTTCTCAAAGAAGAAATCTGAATGGCTAAAAGGCACATGAGAAAATTTTCTATATCATTAATCATCAAGGAGATGCAGATCAAAATAACAATGAGATACCATCTCACACCACAGAGACTGGCCCACATCCACAAGAACAAAAGCAATCGGTGTTGGTGCGGGTGTGACGAGAAAGGGACCCTACTTCATTGCTGGTGGGAATGCCAAATGGTTCAGCCCTTTTGGAAAACAGTATGGACGATTCTCAAATAATTAGAAACTGAGCTCCCATTTGACCCAGCAATACCACTCCTGGGAATACGTCCCGGAGAGGCAAAAAAAGTATAGTCAAAGTGATGTCTGCACTTGTGTGCTCACTGCAGCACTGTTAACAATAGCTAGAATCTGGAAAAAACCTGAGTGCCCGAGAACAGATGACTGGTTAAAGAAACTTTCGTACGTCTACACAATGGAGTACTATGTAGCTGTTAGAAGGGATGAAGTCATGAAATATATATACGAGTGGTACTACATGGAAAGTATCATGCTAAGTGAAATGAGTCAGAAAGAGAGGGACAGACATAGAAAGACTGCATTCATCTGGGGAACATAAAGTAACAAAACAGGAGACTAACACCCAAGAATAGCCGAGATAAGTACCAGGAGTTTTACTCCATGGCTTGGAGGCCAGCCGCACATGCTAGGGGAAAAGGCAGCTCAGATAGAGAAGGGAGCACCAAATAACGGGTGTTGGGAGGATCCTCCCAGGATGGGAGATGCGTGCTGAGAGTAGACTTTAGGCCGAACATGATTGCCACTCAGTGCCTCTTTTGCAAACCACAGCACCCAAAAGGAGAGAGAACAAAAGAGAATGCTCTGCCACAGAGGCAGGGTGGAATGGGGAGGATGGGGGGTGGGAGGGATACTGGGATCAGTGGTGGTGGAGAATGGGCACTGGTGGAGGGATGGGTATTCAATCACTGTATAACTGAAACCCAAGCACAAAAATTTGTAAGTCTACAACTGTACCTCATAGAGTTTCACTAATTAAAATTAAAAAAAAATAAAAAGAAATTAACAATAAAAAATATTGAAATCTGGGAACAGAAAAAATCATATGCTCAAACCAACAGATCCACAGAAAGTACTTGACAATATTCAACACCCATTTATAACTAAAAATGACCTTCCTACTGAAAGCGCTACACAGATTCAACGGAGTCCTATCAAAATTTCCAAGGCAGGGCCCAGAGAGATAGTACAGCAAGTAGGGTACTTGCCTCACAAGCAGTCAACTTGGGTCTGATGGTCCCCCAAACCCACCAGAACATGTGGCTGGAGCGACAGTACAGCAGGTAGGTCATTTGCCTTGCACACAGCCGACCCAGGTTTGATTCCCAGCATCCTATTTGGTCCCTTGAGCACCGCCAGGGGAGTAATTCCTGAGTGCAGAGCCAGGAGTAACCCCTGTGCATTGCTGGGTGTGACCCAAAAAGAAAAAAAAAAAACTTTCAGAACTGGTATTGGCAGCCTGCTGGGGGGTGAGGGAGAAGCACTGCAATACTAAAACTAAGTATAAAACTTATTTAACACTAATACAAATCACGATACTACAACAACTAATAATTTCCTGGTGTTTTGGGGCCATACCCCACAGTTATCGGGTCTACTCCTGGCTCTGCACTCAGGAATTACTCCCTTGGCAGGGCTCAGGGGAATCATATGCAGTGCTAGAGACCAAACCCAGGGCGGCCACATGCAAGGCAAGTACTTTACCCCTGTAGTATCTCTCTAGTTCAAACAAAAACATTTTTTAAGAAGCTGTGTGGGCAGGAGAGATGCCTAAATGCAGTAGATGCATGCTGTGGATAGGGGAGGCATAGCTTTGTGTGTTTCCTCAAGCACAGTCAAGGGTAGCCCCAATACTCAAAAAACAAACTTGAAAAAACAGAGCTGCGGTAAATGGAATATTATGCTGCCACTGTAAAAGATGAAAGTAAGCCTTTTGTGATCAAATAGAAGGAACTTGAGGTGTCTATGTAATAGAATGAAAGACAATTACCAGATAGCTTTATCTGTGAAATATGAATTCTACAGCAAAGTAAATTCCGAGACTAGGTGAAAACTAGGGTTATTACCAGAGGGAAGGGGAAACGGTGAGAGGAATGGAGAGAGCGGTCTCTTTGGGGGTGAAACGGCCCTGGAACATTGGGGTGACTGTGTTCTATCCAGCACATACAGACTATAAAGCTGTAAAGCTACACATTCATAAATGTACTATTTTGTAAGGCAGTAATAAGTCATTTTAGAAAATAAAAAGGGCACTAACCCCACTGCCTGTCATGTCTGTTTTTATATAATATTCATCTTTCCCTATCACTACATACGAATCTCAGTATGGTGCCTTAGCAGAAAAGAAAGTTCTGTAAAAATCTATAAACACACCTGTTTTGGATGCACCACCTACAGAACTCATGTTTTATTCCATCAGATATGTTGACCTTCACCGTCAGTATCTTCAAGTTTTCTCCACGGTTCATTGCAAGAATCTGGTGGAAAAATATATGCCAAGATTGATAATCCAAAATATATATAAATGATCAGTTTAACCAGTCAACATCTGTAAAACAAACCAAGCAATGTTCCAGCCAAGAACTGATGTCTTTATTTCATTTATTTACCAGCAGTATAGTCAAGCATAATCATTTTAATATATTCTAATGCTTTTGAATACAGGTAAAAAATCTTGATATTTATAGGAAGTGACTTAGCTGATCTACAATTTCATTTCTCATTTTATTTATTCAGCATTCTTCATCATCTAGACTTAGAAAAATACACGTTCTACTTGCTAAGATAAACATAAGCATGCAAAACTCTAAGTGGAATACTAAAAAATCATTCATTACTTATAGAGCATTCACTAATTCTCAGACCACATAAGTATTTCACATAATTTACATAATTTACCTGATTTTCAGAGTCACTAAGAAGATATCTATCATCTTTATTTTATATAAAATCCACCCAAGCAGTGTTTAGGAGACCTGAGGGTCCCACTAGTGATTCTCGACCAACTGGACTGTCAGTACAATACAAGAGCCCAAGATGCAACACTGCTCAGGGCCGTGCTGGCAGGGATACGGGACTGTCCCAAGGCTACCCCAGCAGTGGTCAGGGACCTCCAGAGTTGTACCGGTGATGCTCAAGGGACCGTGGGCTGTGGGGCTCACTGCTATCTCCTGGCACTTATACAGTAGCTTTTAAAGAACATGTTGTTTCAAATCACAAACCAAGAAAGTAGCAAAGAGATGGAATATGAAAGTCAAATCATCCTGTACATTAATAGAAGAATGTTTTTAAAAATTTAAGAAAGGACTCTTGATCAATCAGAAAGAAGGAAATGGTGAGGTAAATTAGTAAAATAAAGGATAGGGTTCCCGAGAGATAGCCCAGACTGAGCACATACTGTGCCTACAGGAGGCCTGGGTCAGGATTGGACTCTAGTCAGTGGAATGAGGCAGAAAGAAGGCATCTAGAATAAAAAGAAAGATCTAGAACTACCTCTATTTGCAGATTATCTGACGACTAACACAGAATATCCTAAGAAATGCACTATAAAACTGTAAATAAGAGTTCAGCAAGATCAGTATGAATTTATAAAATAAATTTGTACACACCACCAATTAACATTTGAAAACAAAATTTTAAAGAAATTGTTTACCATGGTATCAAAAGAAATAAAACACTTAGAAGTTAATTTTCACAAAGTATTACATTTATACTCTGAAAACTATAAAAATATAATAGACATTAAGTATCAAATAGAAAGTGATTCTACATTCAAGAAATAGAAGGCATAATTGTGCTGAGTATTTCCCAAATTGGCTTATAGATTTTATAGAATCACTGCCAAATCCCAACTAGTTTCTCTGAAGAAAATGACACACTAATCCTAAAATTCAAAGACATTAAAGATCCTCAGAATAGTCAAATCAATCTCTTTTGATTCATTTTTGTCTGGGGGACATTCCCAGGGGTTCTCGGAACTTATTCCTGACTCTGTGTTCAGGGATCACTCTTGGGAGTGATCGGGGAACCTTACCCACAGCACTATTTTCCAGAACCCCCAAGTCAATTTCTTATTAAAAAAAAAAAGATTTCCCCTTTCTAATTTTCAGACCTAAAATTAAGCTACAGGAGTCAGAATGATAATGATAATGATGCAGGGGATAGAGCATTTGCCATGCACAAGCCAACTCTGGTTCAACCTACGGCATCCCATGTGGTCCCCGGAGCACCACTAGGAGTTACTCCTGAGCATGGAGCCAGGAGTGACCCCTAAGCTCTACCATGTGTCACTGGGCCCCCAGTAAAAAAAAAAAAAAAAAAAAAAAAAAAAAAAAAAAAATCTTAAGTTACAGTAATGTAAATAGTGTTGTACTGGCATAATGACAGAGATATTGATGAATGGAAGAGAACTGAGAGCCCAGAAATAAATCAAGGTGATAACTAAATGCAAAAGGATGAAGTGAGACTCCATCTTACAACATACATAAAAATTAAACTGTTCGCAGACCTCAGGATAAAAACTAAAGTTGGGGCCACACCCACTTCCCATGTAGTCTCATTTATCAGCCCAGCTTTACAAAATCATTATTGAAGTTCAGGAGAGATCAGTAGCCGCAAAAGTTCTCGGATACACCGGGCTCCTGGCTGAGAACTTTGGGGCACCCTGGGAGGGCTGCAGGTTCAAATCCCCAGCCACATAACTCCCAGCAACTGCACTTAACCCCACCCCTCACCCCCACCAGCTGCCACCATGCCAACTGTCAGACTCCACTGCCTCATGACTGAGCGCCACGGAGACGCCAAACTGCTGAAAATTTCAGGTACATGGGACTCCAGGTTGAGAGCTCTGGGGTCTTCCTGGTGTGGGGGCAGGTAGCCTCCCTTCCCCCTCGCCCCCCATACTTTTGTTCTTCCAGAAGCCCTGACAGCCACACCCACATCCCCCAGCCACCTCCATGAAAGCTCATTGGCCAGTTAAATATTTTGGAGTTCCTGGAGCACACGGCCACATGTATGTCTGTGTGACAACTCCAATCTCTACAATACTGGCAAACCAGTAAGAGCACACTGTATTAGATGGGAAAGTAACATAGAAGCCCACAAGCTCAGTAAACAAAAACAGTAACACAGAAGGCTCAGCTAGCAACACAGCTTAGTAAACCCTCAGACAAGGACTTAATGTTCCCATAGCAAGAGATAATAACTTTCATACTTTACTAAAGTACTTTTTGTTGACAGCATTAGCCATTACTTGTGACAAGCCATACAAAATGAATTATTTGTGCCTGCTAAGTAGACAGGACTGGGGGGTGGTTGGGAAAATGGGGACAGTGGTGGCGGGAAGGTCACACTTGTGTTGGGATTGGTGTTGGAATACTGATTGCCTGTAACAAAAGCATCATGAACAACTTCGTAAACCATGGTATTTAAATAAAGGGCAGGGGCACTAAAGCTGTACCATGTATCTGAAAATTAAAAGTTTTATTATTTTTGCATATTAAAAATGTATCATATACCTGAAAAGACATTTGCACCAAAATTACACAGAAATAGTCACCAAGTATCTGAAAAGATGTTCAACATCATTAGTGATGAGAAATGCAAACAATTGGGGCCAGAGTGATAATACAGCGGGTAGGGCGTTTCCCCTGCACGTGGCCAACCTAGGTTTGATTTCCAGCATTCCATATGGTCCCCCAAGCACTGCCAAGAGTAATTCCTCAGTGCGGACCAGGAGTAACCCTGTGCATCGCTGGATGCAATCCAAAAACCAGCAGGGGGGAAAAAAAGGAGCGAGAAAAAGAAATGCAAACAAAACCACAATAAAAAATTACTTCACAAAATGGTTCACTGAAATTGGGTTATAATTTAAAATATGAGAAGAAAGCAATGGTGAGAAAGTAGAGAAACAAGAGTCCCATAAACCACTAAAGAGAAAGTAAAGGTGCAATCCCTCTGGAAAATAATTTAGCAGGTCACCAGAAGACTAAAATACAGATGCCATCTAAGCCAAGAATTCCATTCCTAAGTATACTCCAAGAGAAATGAAAATATATATCATTAAACAAATGTTCAAAGGTTCGCATTACCCATAAAAGTGAAAAAGCAGAAATTAACATCCATCAGGGTTAGAGCATAGCACAGTAGGCTAAAGACATCAACTAAAGACATCAATTGACAAGTGAACTAAATATATTATTTTATCTAATTTGGCCATAAAAAGGGAAACCCTCAAAAAATAAAAAGGGAAACCCTCTTCATAATATACTGCAACATCTATGAATCTTGAAAATATTACGCAAAATGAAAGAAGCCAGATATAGAAAACTACGTTTTGCATGGTTCCATTATATAAAGTGTCCAGGATAAACAAATTTACACAGACAGAAAATTAAGTACCTAGAGCTTCAGGAGATGAATAATTGGAGGAAGATGAGAGGAACTGCTAAGAGGTACATGGCTTCTAACTGGTCACTAAAACTTTCTAAAACTGATGATTGAAATGTTTATATAACTGTATCACTGTCACTGTCACCCCATTGTTCATCGATTTGCTCGAACGGGCCCAGTAACGCCTCCATTGTGAGACTTGTTGTTACTGTGTTTGGCATATCGTTTGCCATGCAGGCAATATACTCTCGGTAGCTTGCCAGGCTCTTCGAGAGGGGCGGAGGAATCGAACCCAGGTCTGCAGGGTCGGCCTCATGCAAGGCAAATGTCCTACCCGCTGGGCTATCGCTCCAGCCCATAAAAGGTATCAAATGCCTGTAAATTATCAAGCTTTTAAAAGATCTACTCTGTTCAGGCTGGGGTGTGCTTACCCGGATGCAAGTGGAACTGCATCGCTAGCCTCACGGAGCTAAGACTTAAGGTTCAGAGGATCAGACTATCAAGACTATCAATAGCTGTGAGTAAATGGTACGAATTAAAGGCAACATAAAATGTATTTTGATAAAGGTGCCATGAAATAAGAGCCCCCATGAAAGTATTCTATGACACTGAGATGTGATATTCAACTAACAATATTGAGATGTGATTTTCTATCATAGAACTACAATAGATATGTTATTCTATCATGACTACAAATTAACCAAAAAGTAACCAAATCCAAAGCATTGACTAAACACTATTTAATAGCCTCACTCACAAGGACATGTATACATACATACATACATATAGTAGCACTGTAGCACTATCCTCCCATTGTTCATTGATTTGCTCAAGCAGGCACCAGTAACGTCTCCATTGTGAGACTTGTTACTGTTTTTGGCATATCGAGCCACAGGGAGCTTCCCAGGCTCTGCCGAGCAGGTGGGATACTCTAGGTAGCTTGCCAGGCTCTCTGAGAAGGACAGAGGAATCGAACCCGGGTCAGACACGTGCAAGGCAAACGCCCTACCTGTTGTGCTATCGCTCCAGCCCATATATATAGTAGACATACTAAATGCAAAGAACATCACTTTATATGTTCAGATATTTAAATAGATCATAATAGCCTTCCTTCAATATTCCTAATGAATGGAGCTTAAATAAATGTTCTCCTGGACAAAAACTGTTATTTTAACATTTTTAGCATATTTCCATAGCAATACCTAACAAAAACTTGGACTTCCTCTCTGTGGTGAAAAAAGCTTAAAATAATTTGACTTAATACTTACCAGAATATGTTCTACTCTGGAAAGTTCTCAATCTGTTTTTCATATCAAAAAGAAAGTAAAAAAGAAAAATGTCTATATTTTTATAACTTTAATTTATATAAATTTTAAGGTGAGTTTAAAATAACATCTTGAATATAGAACAAATGCTGCAAGCTTAAAAACTGAAAAATACTTTTTTCCTTTCCTTTTCTTAAATTTACATCTGAGCAATTTCTAAGATAAACACCGGCAGAAACTAACGAATGACTAAAAAATAAACTTTAAGACAAAATAAACTGTTTTAAATTAGGAAGGTATTTCAAGATTCCCAGCTCTCTGGTATATGAAGAGGAGCACCAAAGAGAAAGCTCTTCATGTAAGCACTTACCTATAATAATTTCATTTATGCAAAGTATAACAATATATGATGAAAGAATTTTGGCTTTGTTTTGTTTGGCTTCTCATTTTTGTGTCTTGTTTTGGGGCCACACCCGGTGATGCTGAGGGGTTATTCCTGGCCTTGCACTCAGGAATTACTCCTGATGGTACTCAGGGGACCAAATGGGATGCCAGGAATCGAACCCAGGTCAGCAGTATACCAGGCAAGTGCCCTACCCGCTGTGCTATCGCTCCAGCCCCAGGAGAAAGAAGTTTGTTTAATTCTAATTTATGTAAGTATATTATCATACAAAAATACATTTATGAGAGAATTACTCTTTTTTATGATATCTAGAAAAGTTTTAGGTCAAACTTATCAAAGCCTGATATAAGAGGACCTATAAAGAAGAGAACTACTAATAAGAGTAATAGATATTAAGGCTAGTGAGGGGAGGAATAAAACAGAATACCTATGGATGACAATAAATGAAAAATCAAAGTGGAAAAGACATAGAGAAAAAAGGGAACAGTAAAAAGAAGCCTCAACAATGAAACAGAAACAAGATAACTCCTAAGAAGATACAAAAGCCATCTGAAGATGAAAGAAGAAAAAATGCAGCTGGAAGAATTAACAATTCTTCTGTAACAATTATTCCCAAAGTAGCACTGTAGCACTGCCATCCTGTTGTTCATCGATTTGCTCAAGCAGGCACCAATAATGTCTCCATTGTCAGACTTGTTGTTACTGTATTTGGCATATCGAATACACCACGGGGAGCTTGCCAGGCTCTGCCGTGCAGGTGGGATACTCTCGGTAGCTTGCCAGGCTCTCCGAGAGGGACAAAGGAATCGAACCAGGTTGGCCACATGCAAGACAAACGCCCTACCCGCTGTGCTATCGCTCCTGTATTCCCAAAATAGCACTGGAGCACAGTCCTTCTGTTGTTCATAGATTTACTCGAGTGGGCCCAGTAAAGTCACCATTGTGAGACTTCTTGTTACTGTGTTTGGCATATCGAATACGTCACGGCTAGCTTGCCAGGCTTTGCCGAGCGGGAGATACTCTCGGTAGCTTGCCAGGCTCTCCGAGTGGGGCGGAGGAACTGAACCTGGCCCGACTGGGTCGGCCTTGTGCAAGGCAAATGCCCTACCTGCTGTGCTATCGCTTCAGTAAGTATTTGTAGTATATTCCCAAAGTATATTCCCAAAGTATCTGGAGAAATTTCAGGAAGTATTCCTCCTTGACCACCACTATCTTCCACCATTGTCCTTCAGTTCTGTGTTCTGAGAAAACTATTCTGGGCTCTCTGGAGGAAGAAAAGTGGGATTCAACATCTGGGCACATGGGGTTTCAACACTCTAGGGATGGGGGCGCTATCTGTATGAACTTGCGTGATAACATCACTGTGACCCCCAAGATAACTAGAAAGTCTTCTTAGGACATAAGACACTGTTTTCAAAACTCATATTCCTCAGACACTCCTTCTCAGACCTGAATGATGTCATACCTAATGAGCCATGTCTCTGCCATGAACTGAAATTCAACAAGTTAATTCAGAATGCCACATGGGCAGGTAAAAGATGCAGATCAAGATATTTTCAGGCAGTCTTTTGTTTCGTTTTGCTTCATTTGATTTTTGGAGTCTCCAAGCAAAGTTCTGGGTGCCACTCCTTATAATACAATCGCTCTGAAGGTTCGACGCTCAGACTAATCAGCCACTCACCCAGTGGTGCTTTGGTGGTGCCACACTTTGCCAGGGATCAGAGGAGGCACATTCACATGCAAGGCACGTGCTCCAGTCCTCTGCACTCTCTCTCCAGTCAGATATTAAAAGTCAGGGTTTTAAGAGAGTAAAAGTATTCCATCCCCCCACCCCAAAGACACCATGAAATCCAACCAACATAATGGAGACAAAATATGACACCAAAATAATTTCTGCAAAAGGAATTCTAATACACCTAATTACTGGTTTTGTTCAGACAAAATGTCTTTCATTTGGCACTAGAAAGAGAGCTCAATGAGCTGGAACACAGGTTTTGCATGTTTGAGAAACAGCAAAAGCAAAAGGCGAAGTACTCCTGGGTGTGGCAAAAAAAAAATTTTTAAACCCTTTTTTAAAAGTTTTTTTCTTTAGGCTAGATCATTAGACTATAGTGAGTCAAGCAAAATTTAACTCTCCTATTACTTTTTCTCAAATTACTCAAAGTATTTATTTAACCAGGAGTGCTAAACACTGTGCATATAATTGTGAACCTTCAAATCTCAAAGTAGGAGCTGTGTTAACTCTGTACCTTGAACGGGACTAATATATATCAAGATGTATCAGTAGGAAAACCAAAAAGACCCCTTATAATGTGTTACTACAAGCACATAAAAATACTTTTAAAAACCTTTCCATAAATTATTATCTTATTTAAAATAATAAAAATTCATGAAATATAATACATTCTAGTCTTTGTTAACCTCTGCATAACAGTAAAAAGAAGCAAAGAAGTGGGGGCAAAATAAATACGGAAAATTATTTTCCGAGGAATTCTCTGTTTGGAGAACACTGTCTCCTGCTTGGAAGCTTCCAAAGACTATTATTTTTAATTTTAAAAAAATTAAATAAAATACATACGGCCTATCTTCAACATTTCTAGGAAAATGAATTAAGCAGGCATCAAATTTCTCAATATACAATATACAAGACAACATGCAAGCAACATAGTTAAAAAAATCTAACGTAAGGATATGCAAACAAAAAAAATACATGAAGCCAAGCAGTCCTTCAAGCACTAAGACCAAAAGAAATCATTGTGAGCACATCAGAACACAGAATACTGTACAAATAAGGGTACTTATTAAGAAATATTCCAAAACAAGGGCCAGCAAACTAGGGCCTGTGAGCCAAATCCTCTCTAACGTCTCTGTTTTTGCAATTTATTAAAGCTTATGAAAGCACATCCATGTGAATTAGTTTATGTATTATCCATGCCTGAGATAAAACAACATTAGACATAACTCAGACATACGAGGATGTGAGGAGCACGGCTAAGGGCCCCGGAAGGCAGTCCAGTGCAAGGATGCCCACTTCTGCATGCATGAAGCTTCCAGTTCGATCCCCAGCACCACCTATCCCACACCACCAACGACGGCGATCCCTGGCTCTACCAGTATGACCCTGAGCGCAGCCAAGTGCACATACCACATAACAAACAGAAAGGCACTGCCCCAAGGAGCCAGAGGGGAGAAGAACGAATGCTGTTACAGGAGCAGCATGCTGCAGTATAAGTCAGTATTATTTATTGCATTTGGGGTTTCTAACTCACCTTTATTTTTTCCTATGTGACAAAAGTCACGTTCCACATTGGATATATGGGCAACAGCTACAATTTTTAAAAAATTAGCAAACTGAAAGATGACATTGAAAGACAGAAAAATACTGAGTATGAGAGCTTCCACAGTTGACTGTAAATTGGATTATCCCTAATTTGCATTTCACACAGAAAAGATCCAGAAGAAGTAAAGTCCAGGCCAAGCCTACTGGGAAGAGTCTAATGAAAAGGACTATAGAAAGTGACGTGTGATATTGTCAGTTATGCTAATAATTCTTGGTGTCACTTATTAATTAATTTCTCTGGGACTTGAGCTTCCCTACTTACAAAATAGGGAGGATATGATAATATTATAAAAACACAAAGAGAGGAAACAGTTCATCTGAAGTTCTTCAATTCCTTAAAAATATAATAATAGGGAATTCCCAAGTACTACCACCATTAATATCAGCATTCAGGAGCAGTTTTCTTATTACCTGGTGATGCTGGATGTTTTTTATGTTGCAAGAAAAATTCTGGTACAGCTGAAACTTATCCACATCTTTCTCATTTACTTTCTTGGAGGACACTTTTGCCAGAGATGACTGGATAGAAACATATCTCTCTTGACACCTGTTCAGATATACAAATGTTCCCCAAAAAGTACTTTTTAACATGTGCTTCCTAAAAGAACACTATCAAAATAAGACTAGCAAAAAAATTAGCAAATGACAGATTTTTTAAACTGATACATAGTGATAAAATTGTCATTGACCCAGGGGCTGGAGCAATAGCCCAGCAGGTAGGGTGTTTGCCTTGCATGTGGCCAACCTGGGTTCCATTCCAGCATCCCATATGGTCCCCTGAGCACCGCCAGGAGTAATTCCTGAGTGCAGAGCAGGAGTAACCCCTGTGCGCTGCTGGGTGTGACCCCCACCCCCCAAAAAATGCTATTGACTCACCAAAACAAGACTCCACCAATTCACACTGACATAGTTTCTACTGGTCAGTCCAGATCAGTCTCAGTCCTACTATTAGTGCAGACCTCCCAGAAAACGCCTAAATGAGGGACTTGTGAGACTGTCCAGGGACTGGGGTGCGTGCCTTGCTTGGTACGCACCTATGGCAGTACACAGTCCCCCATGCATCACCCTGCAGGCCCCTGAGCACTGCCAGGTGTGCCCTTGGAGGTTCTCTGTGCGGGGCTGGGTGGCCGGGAGTGGTAACCCCTGGCACTGCCGGGCCTGAGCAGTTCCATGTTCTTTTGCCCTTGCACAGAATCTCCAACTCAGTTGGCTAAGAATCAGGCCAAGAATTGCCAAAAGACACCTCAAAAGAAAAAAGCAAGGAAACAAACAAAACAACCCCACGTGGCCTCAGATACCATCAAGAATTATGTAACAGGCCAAAACTGTTCTACCGGGATCAGACCCAGTAGCTTCCATCTTTCTTTTTTAACCAAGTCAGGCAGTTAAGAGTCCATGGAACGCTAAAAAGGAAGGGAATGTAATGTGTTAGGGCAGCTTCTGGTGACAACTTATAAACTGAACCAAATTTCAGTCAGTTCATTACTTACAAGGACATAAGGAAATGTCAGGGATGAAAGCTCAGAGGTATGAGGCCCTAGGTTCAAACCCAGGCATGAATGAGGAGAGGAAGAGAAAGAGGAGAAAGAGGAGAAGGGAAGGAAAAGGAAAGAGAGACAGAGGGGAAGGAGGAGGAGAAGAAAAGAGAGGGTGAGTGGGGTTGGGGAGGGGAAAAAAACACATTTAGAAATAAAAACTCTTTCCACTCCACATGTCACTGCTTCAGAGTGAAGAAGAGCAGGCAGAGTTCCAGACTCCTGCCCGGATTTCAATTAATACAACGTTGCTTTCTATCCATTGTTTGAATAATACTGTTCTGCTATTGGGGGGGAAAAATCGGAAAATAAAAGCTTCTTAATGAACACTGGTGCCGGCACTCACCAAGACAAAGCAGAACAGTCTTATACGCAAGAGTTACTCACAGTTTCCGGATGAAATCAAGTGTATCTCTATCCTTGGCGACCATGTCGGCTAAAATGTGCTGTACACCCATTTCAATATCCTGGAGTATCGAGATTCCTTTAGGAACAGAGGGGAAACAAAAGGAAGAATTACAGACTGGTTTTTCATTCTAGAACGAAAGGTAAGGTAAAGGTAAAGGTAAAGGCCCTCCCGTTGATCGTCGATTTGCTCAAGCGGGCCCAGTAACGTCTCCATTGGAGACTTTGTTGTTACTGTGTCTGGCATATCGAATACTCTCGGTAGCTTGCCGGGCTCTCCGAGAGGGGCGGAGAAATCGAACTCGGGTCGACCATGTTGGCCGCTTGTAAGGCGAATGCCCTACCCGCTGTGCTATTGATTCCAATCAAAATAAAACCTTGAATGTCAAACCTAAGACAGAAAATCATCATAGCAGTGATTAGTTTCACCCTGCAACAAAGTCTCCAAAAGCAATAATACAGGACTTTCCATATCATAGAACCTAGCGGTAAAAAATACAGCTCTCAAGTCAGCTGCCTGATCTAATCTGGTTCCATCACTTGCCGAATGTGTGATACTAGGCACAATACTTGAGCTTTCTGTGCTCTGAGTTTCCTGTAAAAATAAAATAATCATGATACCTGCTTCACTAAGTGCTTACAAAGATTAAATGTACATGGAAAACATACACTAATAAAGTCATCCCCCAAGGTATACCATTTCAGTTCTGTTACAAAGATTCTCCTTTATAAGTAATCATACTAATACTTCCATTTGGATTTAGGATGCATTTATCCACATTTTTCCATGACTCACTTGAATTTCTCAAATCTCATGCAGCACAAAAACAACCATTATGTGGTTGTTCATCTTAAACTATTTACCAATGACACATAAAGTGAGCTCCAAGAGCTTCTGGCTGGCTAATTTGCAGCAGTAACTTTTATATGTGATGACCTACTACGTAAACATACATTGAAAGACCATTTGCACTGTTCTCTTTCATCTCCTTTGTCTTTATCATATTATTTATTTGTATTAAAACTTTGTTTTCTTGCTTTAATGCCTAAATGTAAAAGCACTCTGTAACCTAGTTAAAAAAAAAAAGAAAAGAAAAAAACTAAAAAAGCACTTAATACATAGAAAATGCCTTGTTGAGTTATGTTAACTGATTTCAATTACTAGAATAAATTCTCATTTCTTTAAATTTTAAGGAAAATTTTAAGTTGAAATCAGTAGGAATGTCGTTGACGTTTTAAAAAAATTTTCCAGTGAGGTAATTTCCAGGAGCAAAATACCCTCAAAAGGTTGAGGATAGTTTATGGCAGAAATTAAAACAAGTGAGGACCACAGTATACAGTCAAGATGCATTTATTCTTATGTTAACCACCTCCCAGCTCTCATCTGGAAACACCAATCACAGTATACTAAATTCCTGGATTCCCAGACCTAACTGCATTACTAGACAAAGTTGCAGAACACGACGGTAATAAGTCAGGAGCAAAGATGGAACCATCAATGAGAGCCAACACAAGAGCAAACACAAGAGCAAACAGAATTAGAACCAAACAGCCCTACAATATTCCCGTTATGGAGGAATGCAATTTAAAAGCTCATATTATTAAAAAAAATCATATAGTTAAAATTATGCAAATGTTTTAATGCAGTGTTTTGTCAAGTATAGCCCGAGGACCCAAAACTAAACTACACTAGGTGCTTATTAATAATACAGATTGCTAGACTGCAAGATTTTACTATTTTATAGAGCATCCCAGATGATTCTAACATAAACTTACATTTTTTTTTCCTTTTTTTGGGTCACACCCAGCGATGCACAGGGGTTACTCCTGGCTCTGCACTCAGGAACTACTCCTGGCGGTGCTCAGGGGACCATATGGGATGCTGGGGATCAAACCCAGGTCAGCCGCGTGCAAGGCAAATGCCTTACCCACTGTGCTATCACTCCAGCCCATCACTTACATTTTTTTAAATCCAGGGGAGTTGGGGTGAGGGAAAGGGAGGCTGAGAAATAGCTCCGCTAGTGCAGGCGTTGGAAACAGGAAACCTGGGTTCAATCCCACATATTCCCTGAGCATCACCAGGGACAACCCCAGAGTACAGAGTCACAAGTGGCCCTGAGCATTACAAGGTGTGCCCCCTGCCAAAAATTAATTAATAATAATAAATATTTCCCAGGGAGGTCATCTGACCTAGCTTTAGAGCAGCAGTCCTCATGAAGCAGTAGAAACTGTCGGAATCATCCCAATAGCTCGTCCAGCTTACATACTCCCCTTCAATCCAAGGAAGGGGTAAGGAATTTGAAAAGTCTTGCATTTTGAAAATGCACCTTTTGGCATCAAAGAGAATGGCTCTTTAGAACTTCATACAGTCAAAGATAAATGGAGCACTTCAGTTCAATAAGGGGGAACTGAACTCCAGAAAATCAGAGTATCCCATCCCTGGCCTGGAGTGAAAGCTCCCTGGCTATCTCTTCAAACCTCCTTGACTGTAACAGAAGCTGTACGGCTAACCCTTTCGCTTTCTTTTTCACTTTGTCTGCATTAAGACCACCTCTTTGGTACATAGAACAATCAGCTACACTTCCCTGCATAAACATAAATGTCAGACTTCTAGAGTACATTTGGGGCAGAGTGCATCTTTTTTGGATTCAGACCAAATTCTTGTTGGCTTGCGGTAAGAAATTTCTTCTACTGCAGGGAAAAACCAGCCAATACCCCTGCAATGATTGGCTTCTTAAATATTTCTTTCAAGAATGACAAGAATGATGAAAATACTTCTTTAGAAAATCAGTAGTAAAATTGAGGGTGATCACAAGTGCCATGAATGAGGAAAGAAAGGAAACCATTTCATGCAAACTTGAAGAAGCAGTACCTAGTCTGTTTAGGACTAGCCCTAATTTTTGTACATTTGTCATCAGAATGAAGCAAGTAACGGAGTAAGCCCTTTATGTGTGCTAGTAAGCTCTGCGAAGCCTGGTCATCAGGAACTGTCCTCAGTGCCCACTGTGGGTTCCCAGGACATCTGTGCCATCCATGACAAACTGAGTGTTAATTCTCCCCCTTAAAAGCACTTCAGTGATCTGAAAGTGGTCAGAAAACCCTGCATCATCATCATACAAAGAAGTCTAAATCTTCATGTTCCTGTAAGATCTCAGGAAACTGCCCAAGTCATGTCGGTGCACATATCTGCATATCTGAAAGCCACAGAGTGGCTGTAAGTACTTTCAGAAGCAATGTGTGGCATTCCACGGCTATGGGAAAGTAAGTATGAGAGGGGAGATGTGCCCAGGCCAAACAGCAAGGCCAGACAATGGCCAGTGGCCCAAAAAGTTTTGAATTTAATTCACATATTTAAAATTCAGGAAGTACCCGGAGAGCACAGCCACATACACGGCTACGTGACACCTCCAAAGCCCATGATACTGAGAGCCCCCCAGCAAATCAGGTGTAAAGTAGCACAGAAGCCCACTGAGAGCAATCGGAGAAAAAATAACAGCGAAGGCTCAAAGAGCAACAAAGAGCTCAGGAAATCCTCAGAGAACGACGTTAACAACATCAATCTGATCTATAACAATTTTCACAAATTTTCTATTACTGAACTATTTTTTAACAATTCTACTTACCATTTTGTTGTAACAAGCAATGTGATATGAATTATTTTGTGTCTGTCAAGGGAATGGGATTGGGAGGTGAATGGGAAATGGAGGACAACGGTGGAAGGAAGGTCACTCTGGTGGTGATTGGTGCTGGTACACTGAATGCCCGAAATAACTGTATTATGAACAACTTTGTAAACTACATGTTTGAATAAAGTTAGAACAATCAGAGCAATCAGAGACAGGGAGCAAAGGGATGGCTCAAAGGGCTTGCCGTGCATGGTTAGATCTGCCAGGCTACACCGCACCCCGCACCCACCCCCAATACCAAAAAAAAAAAAAAAGAGAGAGAAAAAAGAAAATACAGAGAGTGAAGAACTGAGGGGTTTAGATGCAGATTCTCTGATAGCAAGATGCGGCCAAGTGAACAATTCCTCCAAGAACCACATTGAATTTAGAGTTCCTGGTCAGATTAACCTGTATCCGAGCTTTCCCTCCTACATTGACAAAATCCTTACTGGGAAAAAAAGACCACCTGTTTGTAGCCCAGAAGAGGAGCAGATTACACACAATGGACAGATATACCAGAAGACACTGTAGAAATAAGACCTACGGCCCAGGGAATAAATTCAGAGTAAAAGTAAAGCAAATAAAGTGAAAAGATAAGTTGTCAAATCTACCCAGTGTGAACTGAACTCAGTCTGTGTGAGAACAATGGAGAGCTGTATTTCAACTGAGCTACAGAACAGAAATGAAGTCCGGGAAGAGAAAATACTTCAAACAGACAATAAATGTTTTTTGCACATCAAATATTCTAAAAGTTCCATCATTCAGTTCTAATAAAACATACCATAAGTAGGCACAAACTGTGCCCTCTAGGGCCAGCCTTAGTGCTTGCATGCTTGGAAAATATTAATAAAATATTAAATGTTGCAACCTCTTGGAAATCTAAAATACACATTAAAAAGAAAGCAAACTTTGAGGCCTGAGTGAAAGTAAGGTGTTTGGCAAGATGTTTGTCTTGCACCCTGTGACCCAAGTTCAGTGCCAGTGTCCCATATGGTCCCCTGAGCACACCAGGAAACATTCCTGAGTGCAGAGCCTGGATGTGACCCCAAAACAAGAATAAACAAATTAAAAAAATGCTAAAGTAAACAAATTTGAATTTTACTCTTTTCATCCGAGTCTAAATCAATTGCCCTTTTCAAAACAGATCATAGGACGCATTTGTGTATGAAGATACTTGTGCTTTTACAAACATGCATATTCAATTGCCTTGATCACAAATTCACACTTGGTGGATTATCTCAAACAAAAATGGATTATGGCCAATTCTTTACAGTTAATACTACAGATTTATGTTATCAGATAGTGCCATCTACAGATACTTCAGTCTCCCATCCAATCCACAGACGACCAAAATAAACTGTAGAGCTGGGCAATCTTTCATTAAACCAGACTTCCAGGAAGAAATATTCTTACTTAAAAACCTCTTACTCTAAGGCTCATCTTAACAGCGAGACAAGTATTGTCTGTGACATTACTTGTCCTGAGGACGCTCCTACCTCATTCTTTCCCCTGTGCAGCACATGACACATACACACACACACAGGACAGGAGGGAAGACAGGCAGGGAGACCACCCAAGGCACACTCGGTCTCTACGGGCTGGAAGCAAGGGCACAGGACCACACTTTACACCCGATACAGGTCAGAATTGCTGAGAGTCTTCTTTATTGACTTATGAAGGTAAGACTCTTATAATTAAAAAAATTTCTGAAACAGAGTCAAAGTTGTAAAAGCTAGTAAGGGAGTCTTTATAATCTTGAGATGTGATCTTTTTTTCAAGGTTAAGAAAAAGCATTTATTGGGGCTGGATCGATAGCACAGTGGATAGGTTGTTTACCTTGCACATGGCAAACCCAGGTTCGATTCCCAGTATCCCACATGGTCCCCTGAGCACCGCCAGGAGTAATTCCTAAGTGCATGAATCAGGAGTAACCCCTGTACATTGCCAGGTGTGACCCAAAAAGAAAAAAAGAAAAATAGAAAAAGCAATTATCTTACAAATTTAATAGATTAAGAATAAAATTAAGGGGCTGGAGCAATAGCACAGCAGGTAGGGTGTTTGCCTTGCATGCGGCTGATCTGGGTTTGATTCCCAGCATCCCATATGGTCCCCTGAGCACTGCCGGGGTAATTCCTGAATGCAGAACCAGGAGTAGCCCCTGTGCATCACCGGGTGTGACCCAAAAAGCAAAAAAAAATAATAATAATAAAATTAAGATGTTGTTAAGTATAGAAAAAAAGTAATAAATGGATCGGAGAGACAGCAGAGCAGAAGGGGCACAGGCCTTGCATGCAGCCAACATGCGCTCCTGCCCCAGCACCCCAGGTGGTCCCCAAGGTCTTGCCAGGAGTAAGTCTTTAGTGCCGAGCTGGGAGTAAGCCCTGAGCACTGTCAGGTGTGGCACAAAAACCAAAGCCAAAACCAAAAAAAAAGGAAAAAGAGGCCTAGGGAGCCAGCTAAAAGGGACAGAGTGCATGCAGGACCATTAGCTTCCGTCCCTAATGCTGCATGGTTCTCTGAACACTATGCCAGGAGTGGTCAGTGCAGCATCCGATGTGCTCCACCCTTCCCAAAAAAGGATGCTTACAGGAGGAAAAGAGAGAGAGATGAGCCAACAGAAAAACAGGCAAGAGACGACAACAGGCCCTTGTCAAAAGAGGAAAGCGGAGCCATGAAGCAGGAGGCGCGCCAGGAGTTCTTATAGTACAATGATTTATTCTCACTGTCTTCTCTAGGGTTATTATTTAATTAAATATTTCTTCAATGTCAGTTGGCAGATTTGGGGGGAAAGAAAGAAGGAAACGATGTGCTTGGGTCAGCCGTACCTTTGACATTGGGTTTAATGTAGGACATCAGATTGAGCTGTCCGGGATTCTCCAGCAGGGTCCTGGCGGCTCCTTCCAATCCCAGCTGCTTTGCTCTCTGGGCTTTGGTGCCTTTGCTCCCAGATTTGTATGGAGCTGACTATGGGGTGGGAAAAAAAGTCAGAAAACATTCCACATGATGCCATTTTTAAGAGTTAAAATTAGGACGCCAAATTAGAAGGCCTGGTGAGAACACATTTTCCTCAACCCTCTCCCCTTCCTTCAGAAAGGCACTGACGCTGAGCAGAGAAGACCAGATGTATGAAGATGGTTCCTCCTTGTATGACCCTTTACCCTTTCCATATGCATAAAAAGATTCCTTTTGTTGGATTACTCATCTTAGCCCAGTGGCTGGACTGCAAACTCTTCAAGATCCATTCCTCAACTCAAGCAAAAGCATAAGCACAAAGTCTTCTGTTTCGGAGCCACACCGAGCGGTACTCTGTGCTTACTCCCGGCTCTGTGAGCAGAGACTAATCCCCATGGTGCTTGGAAGACCATATGACGTGCCAGAGATGGAACTAAAGCCAGGAGTGTGAAGCAAGCGTCCTCCCCCTGTTCTGTCTCTCTGGTCCCACGGCTTCTAAATCTTAACCCATATTCATTTCCCAGTCTCCATCCCACAGCGACTCCGGTGGCCTGGCTGAAAGTGGTAATCTCAAGTTAGATTTCCTGATTCTCCACCCTGACCTCGCCAAACTCCCTGCCATGCGAATAACCGTACTTCACTGCAGTGCATTACCTCCTCCAGTTCTCCCTTCATCTGCCACAAATATCATCTCCAGATCCTCGAGTAATTTTTCTTAAGAGTTTCTACCTTTACCAACATTTCTGTCATGTTTCTCATCTGCCTCACCCCAAATTCTGAGTAAAGTCTTTTCCTGTCTGGTTTCAAATACCTCTAACTTGCCGAGGACATTCAGATTTAGGATCCAACTCAGCCTTCTCCCTTAAGTTTCACACTTCCAGAATCATCTCTCCTTTTTTCCCCCATGGACTGGGAATTTCTTAAAGACAGACCTGTGCATCAATCATTTTTGTAACCCAAAGCAGCATGCAAAGGTGTTCACTGAGTAGGAATGGGTATCGCACTGAATTGTAAGTGCTGGCTGGAGACTTTCATTTTCTATTTTCAGACATTCTCTAACCACTAAAGGACCCAAACCGGGTCGCAGAGGAATAGCACGAAGCTCAGGGGGGCTTACTGGTCAAGACTCCGGCCACAAACTCGAATCCACAACGTCCCCTATGTGCCACGTGCGACCCTGTCACTCTGCTGCCTGCTCCTTGCAGCTCTGTTCTTTGCCATTCCCAGTGCTATAAGCGATGTCTGGCCACGCCACAAAAAGAGGTGGGTGCAACCCCCAGAGAGCACTGCAACTAGAATACAAGGATGTATGCGCGATGGTCCCAGCCAGGCAGGACAACCTCTGGTTTGCAAATGTGTCTGGGAACACCTCAGTGACTCCCCGCGAGCACCACAATAACATAACTGAACCTCCACTCGAGTGTGAGCCCTAGCATGCATCTGTGCAACAGGTGTGACTGCAAGGGGTGAGGGCCACGGGGAACACAGCGACAGTTGTACCAGCACCAAGGCCAGAACAGGAGTGATCCCGGTCAAGACAAAATCAATCAAAGGGAAGAAAAACCAAAGCAATATCGTACACATGGAGGGAAAGACCCATGTCATAATATACTCCCCTACTATGCTAGAAGACTAAAACGGGTTCCTTACCACGTGTTCTAGTTCTTCAAAAGTCTTACAGTTCAGCAAGGCCGTCAACAAGCCCTCAGACATCTTGCCCTCCTTCTTAATTTTCTGGATTGTACTATGAACCTTCTTTGCAACAGACCTGGGGGAAAAAGCTTTTTGTTTGTTTGTTTGTTTGTTTTTTTCATTGCAATAAGTAAGACCTATACCTCAAAACTTTCCTTGAAGCAAGCTCAAACTTCCAGAAAAGTTGCAGGTAACAGGAAAAGAATTTTTCTCCTCTGAACCACTTGAGAATAAAGTTACCATCTGTCTGAAATAGTTTAACGTTCAGTTTTTACAAATGAGAATTTTTTTCAAAATAGTAGTCCAACTATCCAGGTTAGATAATTAATAATTCCAGTTACTGTCATCTAACCTTGGCATCTTTCAAGTTTCACCCAATGTCCTAATAATATTCTTGGGCAAGAATGCAACTAAGAAACAGTTACACAAAATTACTACCTACCTAGTTTCTTTTAAGTTGAAACTGTATTTCAATCTCTCCTTTTGTTTTCAAAACTGTTACAGACAAGTTGGAGAATGCCCCACACTTCCGGTTTCTTTTCTCTCAATTTGATTTACATGGTATATCTTTAACAAGAATGTCAGAGGACCAGAGAAACAGTATAGCGTGTAAAGCACTAGCCTTGTAAACAGCCGTCCTCAGTTCTGATCCCTGGTACCACAGTGTCCACTGAGCACCATAGAAATGGTCCTCTGTTCCTCTCACTACATCCTATTAAACAGTAATGGCTGCCATTCAAACTAATACTAATAAACTTTGACACTTGATTAAGATAATGTCTGTGGATTACCCTAAAACAGAGATGTTCTTTATTTCCTTTGTAACTGAATATTTTGTGAAGGGGTACTTTAATCATCCCATCCCTCATTAAATTTTCTATTTACTCATTGTTTAGTTTATGTCACTGTGGATTCATGGGTTCCACTGCCTATAATCCATGGCTATAATTCAATGTTTAAATTGCTGCAGAAGTGGAAAGAACTATCCCCTTCAAGCCAGCGTGTGAGTCCTTCTAACATCTCCTCATCATTCTTGGAGTGCTTCTTCATTCTTTGGCACCAGATAAGGCAAGTTCATGTTTTACTTTCCCTACTGCATTCCCACAATCACGAGAACAGCACTAAGTAATCAACTTTGTTTCTTTCTTTTTGGGTCACACTCCGCGATGCACAGGGGTTACTCCTGGCTCTGCACTCAGGAATTACCCCTGGCAGCGCTCAGGGGACCATATGGGATGCTGGGAACAGAACCCGGATCGGCTGTGTGCAAGGCAAATGCCCTACCCGCTGTGCTATTACTCCAGCCCCTCAACGTATGTGTGCTAGGAAAGATTCCTGCTGCCACGGCACAGGATGAGTATACTTAGTACTGTAACTGGCTTCCAGTTACCATTTCCATTCAGAGCTACTAGGACTCCAAGCAAAAAGCTGATCTCAAGGATCAATGTAGGGAAAGAGTAGTACAGAGGCAAGGCAATTATTCTGCCATATTGCAGGGGTTTTTTTTCCTCTATGAATATAAAATCTTATAATTACATTTGTCTTTTAACTAATCACCTGTTCCTATTTTTAAAACTTGTCAAAAAATACTGCTAAACTTATACACAAAAATTAAAGATGACAATATAAATCACTAACAAAGGACTGGTAGAAAAGGCTAAGCCTGCTAAAAACAAAACACTAAAAGGCAGAAAGTTGTAAACTAAAGAGGAGGAACATCCAATCCTTAGATTAGGACCTGTGTATCATTCATAATCCTGGTAGAGCCCCGTGCTATTTTCAGGGTCTGAGGTTCACCAGGATCATTTTGAAAAATGGCCAATAATGTCCCATTAGCCTGAATATAAAGAAGAATGCTTTCAAAAATACAAGAAACTTGGTTCATTACTCATAATCATACTCTTAATTTACTCAAATCACCCTCAGCAAGAAATGCATATAATTTATACTGCTGCATGAGATCATCTTTGCCTTTACCACAGAAACTACACTTATATACTTTTTATTGTCTATCTCAGTACTTTAAAGTAATAATGACCTACTCATCTGGTTGACTACTCACTTATGGGTAGTAATTAATAGATTCAAAATCAGTAGTATACTTGCAGAAAATGTCTTAGGAAAAGACAGACCATATCTCATTACCAAAAGAACAAAAAAATTACTATGATAAAAAGATTTTCTCAGTTCCCATCGATGTCCCCCTATTACTTCAAGAAATAATTGCCCACAAAGACTCAATGTATCTTCCCATAAAACCAAATAATTTTGATATTTTTAAGTAAATTATACTTGCTTATTTGTGACACTTTCCCAGGTTCAGATCTCAGAACGCTCATTTGATTCATTACCTTGCCTTCAGCCAAGCAGAAAGTGCATTACAGAATTTGCAAGCTACTGGCTATCCAGAAGTGTTTTATATATATATATATATAATATATATATATTATATACACACATATGTATACATATATATACATATATATCATATATGCATATGTGTGTGTGTGTATGTGTGATTTTGTTTGCTTGGTCCAAAATTTTTCACATAAAACAGGATTACCATCTTCTTTTCAGAACTAGGAAACTCTGGCAAACTAGCAGAAAGTCTTGGAGGTGAGGAATCCGCTCGAGATGAGTAGATCCTAAAACACAGGATTTGTGGGGGCTGGAGACAGAGCACAGGGTGTAGGGGGCTGGCCTAGAATGCAGCTAACCCTGACTCCATCCACACCACTGCCAACAGTTCCTTAAGCACTGCCAGAAGTGATTCCTGAGCACAGAGTCAGGAGTAGACCCAGAGCACCATCGGGGTGTCCCCCCCCCCCCCCGAGCTGTTACCTCCAGCTGTGCCCCCCCTCCTTGCTGCCGAATGGAAGCATAGACCTAGCAGTTCTGAAGCTGGCACCACATGGTTAGCTATTAATATCCCGGGCCACTAATTCAGTTTGGTCCACTGAAATGTAACTTCAGATTAGAATATTTGTATGGCCTTGGTCTTGTTTTCCTTTTCCTTTTTGTTCTGTTTTGTGGGATGTTTGTTTGGCTGGTCTTTGGGGTTTTTTCGCGGTGCTGGGAAGAGAAACCAGGGACTCAAACATGTAGACATGATCTCTACCCAAGTCACATCCCTGGAAACATGTAGGAGCATTTTAACTCTAAAGGCACTAAAAAAAAAAAAAAAATTCAACAAAAAAGGTAAAAAACATTAGTGAGCTACAAGTTCTTTCCAAATAAAGGAAGCTTATTAGGCTTATTATAAAAAAATTAAAAATAAATTTAAAAAAACAATGCTAAGTATGTTTAGAATGGCCCAATGGCATGATTATATCTGACTTTAGTTCAATCCTTTTGTAGACCTGAAGAACACAACAGACTAACAGGGCACATGGCATGCAGAAAACATGCCACAGTTACATAAATGCTGGAGTGTTTTCTTCGCCTCTAGTGAATGACAGTTAGACCTGTAGTCTTAAGTAGTCTTAATATGTATATTTCTAAGTTATAAATAAGTCCAGGGGCATAATTTTAATAGTGTACTTTCCATTCTATAACTACACAAAATTTTTAATCTAGTAATATTAAATTACCATGCTGTTTAAAAGACTACACAAAGAAATATGCATATTTCCAATCAAATTTTATACTGCCAAAGAGTTCTCTATTTAGAATCTTAATAATATTAAAGAAAGCAGTTTTATGTGAACTGCTAAGTTTAGACTAAAAAACATTTTTCTTTGCTAACTTGCACTACCATTTTTCAGAGCAAAGATGACAAACTTTTGGGGACTTGTTTTGTTTTGGGACCACACCAGCTATGCTCAGGGTTTACTTCTGGGTCTGCACTCAGGCTTCTCTCCTCACGGTATTTGGGGTTCCCAGGGATCCAACATATATTGTCTGCATTCAAGGCAAGCATCCTACACACCGTACTGTTGCTCTGGCCAAAGATGACATTTTAAGACACACGCTTTGCTGAGAAATGCCCATGCTTAACGGAATATGAAACACATCAGCAGAGGAATTCAGTGAAATTCCAAGTTAAGTAGAAGAGAGCTGGCTTCCTCTGTTGGAAGATTAAATCTAGATTACAATAATTAAGAAAAAAATACTTTAGAACTATCTAAATAAATTGTTCGCTTCTCTTCTTTCTCCCCTCACTGGCTCAGTCATCCTTCCCCTCACAGGTGCACCCCTTTCCAGATTTCTTACCGTAGCTCATCTAGGGTTTGGCGAACTTCTCTCAAGGAATCAGCATCAAGGTTATTAATGAGCTCTTTTCGATAGCGTACAATGAAAGGAATTGTGTTATCATCATTAAAGAGACGAATGATGTTGGCACAAACCCAAGGCTCAATACACATCCTTTCAGATAGAACCTGTAAGTGAAGGATACATAGTGATCTGAAAATCCTGAAACAAAACATGAGAATGTCTAATAAAAAATACAGCATCAATTAGTGTTTTTCAATACTGAAAACTACCCAGAGGGTTTCATGATCAGCAAAGTAAGTCACAGGGAGAAGGACAATGACCAAATCATCTCACTCACCTGTTGTATAGAGAGACAACACAAAAAAATAGACCCTATGATGGCATAGCCTTAGCTTTGGATTAAAAAACTGAGATTACCAAACGGGAAGGGAGTGGGTAGACAGGAATGAGGGAGAGGCCTGGAAATAATATAAGGACATCTGCGGTGGCATGGGCATTCTGGTGGTGGTGAGGTGTGATCACGGTGTACATCGAAATCATAAACATTAATACTACTGCACATATGTAACTCAAACTACAAAAGTGACCTAAACTATAAAGTGTTTAAACTATATAAAATACATTCATAGTTATTTCAGTAATTTAATAAAATCTGATTGAAGCCGCTATTCTTATACCACTCAAAGTCTACAGAATTCACTTGATGTTTCATCTCTGAGATTGGCAGCAAAGAAGCTGGCACCATGAGTGACAGGAGAAAGGACTTCATATAATGGTGAGAAAGCACAACACCTGCTAATGGAAGTGCACTGACAACTTACTCTTTGATTCATAAAGTTAAGTTCTAGATATCTATCCTGATATATTCAACAAAATGCTATTATTTATCAAATGTTTTTTTAAAAACTGTTTCCAGTGCCGTTAAAAAAAAACCCAAGTCTACAACGGGAACTCTAAGTTATAATATACACAGAAAGTAGAAATAACATGCAACTAAATCAATGTGAAATAATTCACAAAAACTGGGAACAGAATTATCCAGAAAATGTTACTGGTTGGCTGAGAATCAAGACAGACACTGTATCTTTTGAATTTGGCATCATGAAAATATACAAAATATATATATGGCATCATGAAATTATACTACATCTTCAAAATAATTCTTTTAAAAAAATACAAATCCTTTGACTGCAGCAAAATGTATGTGTAAGCAAAAAAGCTTTGCGAAGTTGGTCTGGAGAGGAGCAAAATGAAATGCAATATTAGTAACCTCAAAAATTTCAAAGTAGGGGGTTAAAGACATGTTTTATCTTTTTATCTAGAAGCCGAAGTTCTGACAAAGATAGGGGGGTTGGGGGGGACAGAAAAAAATACTAAAAAATGACCACAATAAACTGATCAATATAATCAAGTCAACACATAGGAGACTGAATCTCAAAACTACAGGCAAAATATATTGCTGAAACTCCACTCTAGAGAAGACACCCATTTCTCTAGGTATCTTAAATCCTGAGAACTACATCTTATCATCATTCTGATTAATTCTTTCTAATAAAGATGCCAACTTCACACTTTCTGCCTTGCCTTAGCTCTCTGCTGCAGAATCTCAGGGAAAACTAATGTACCCTTCAAATCTTACATTTGCTAAAGTGATCCTTCTCTGAAACTTATTCCTCCTCCAGTCTCCCCTTCTTTAGTTCCATCCAGGAGTTCAAGAATCTTTAACTCTTTTTTGCCACCTTCCACTTTTAAATTCACTTTATCACCAAAAGTCAGTGAATAATAATTATGAAGTAGTTCTTTAGTCTATTGCTGCTCTCCATTTTTCTTCCCCATATCTCTAGTTCAAAGCTAAACTCCTGCAATACTTTTTAACTCTTTTTGTATCTGCTCCAATCTCTTCTATTCCAAGCTCCATAAAAAGCAACGTTTATTTTCTCAAAGTGTATATTAAAGCATGGGACCTGACTAGTCAAAATGCTTCAAAGCTTTTCATTGCATTAGAACCCAACCTAGTTACTCGGCAGCATAACCAAATTAGTACCAACCTGTTCAGATGTAGGATAACACCAACCCACTAACTATTTACCAGCCTCCTCTCCTTCTTCACATGCTGTCCAGTCTTCCCCTCATTACAAGCCAGTCCCTATGATGCCCTCTCAAATTCCTGGAACAAGTCGGGTCACTTGCTTCTGCAGAAACCTTGATGAGATTGCTTTCTCACTCAGAAAGGCGCATCCCTGACATGATCCCGACAAAATCAAACTCATTAGGGCCAGACAGATAGTACAGCAAGTAGGGTGCTGGTCTTAGGTGGCTGACTAAGGTTCAATTCCCAGAACGCCATATCAACCTTAGAGCTCCACCAAGAATGATTTCTGAGCAGAGCCAGGAGTAATCCCTGAGCACTGCCAGAACTGCACGCGATCACACACACACACACACACACACACACACAAAAATCAAACTAATTAGCAGCATTTTCTCCCTGCTCAGGACTTAACCCTGACTCTGCACTCAAAAATAATTCCTAGCAGGGCCCAGGGGACAGAGGGGATGCCGGATAAAACCCGGGTCAGTCATATGCAAGGTAGGTGTGCTACCTACTGTATATCATATCACTCCAGCCACTATTTCTTATTCCACCTTCTTCAACCATAGAAAGCTTAAAGGATATTGGTGTTATCTCACCTACACCTTCCCATTATGTAGAAGTTACGGGGCGTGCTAGCACTTGCCATCAACTCCAGCTCCCAAGTACTTTGTTCAAGCAACCAAATGCATCAGAATTAACAAGCAACCAATTGCATCAGAATTAACAACAGCCAGACAGGATTAGCCCAGCCATCGAGACTGATCTATATAGTACACTGCTCAAGATTCAGAACATCAGGGCTGAGGTAGCAATTTCACCCGCAAAAGAAATAAATATCATTTGTATGTGCAGCCTTGAAGCCAGGTATGGCAGTGCGAAGAGGTTCACGGGCCATTTCAGTGCGCTAGATCATCCTGTTATATAAGTTAATACATCAACTTGATTACTCAAGCTCATTCGAAAGCTTTCTCTTATTGACCCCAAGGCATCTGAATCAACATCCTCTACCTGTTCTCTCTACCCAGCTCATCTAATCTGTCATCAAAGAAGCAAACTGCAGTTTAAAATGTCACCTGATCAGGGACTACTCCCAGATTAGGATGCTAGTGGCTCCCAGCAGGCTTGGAGGGCCAGGCAGCCCTAGGGGTTGAATGCAGGGGTGTGGCATGCAGAGGACAGCCCTTTGAGCTATCTCCCTGGCCCCTAATAATCACCTTTCCTCTCAACCACAGAGAATTTCTGTTACTCGCTATGCCTCCCACCCAACCACTCTGTACCACTATTGACCACATTTCTGAAACAGTCAAAATTACACCCTCTCTTCTCCATTTTTATTTTCTTTTGAACAGACATACTAATGACTCTTTACCTACTGGTTAAAAATCAACCTCTAGAGCTCAGAATTAAGAATCCTGTCCCAAGCTTCCTGTTCTTAAGAAGTTAGCAGTCAAGGCGAGAATAAAAGTTAATGCAAGCAAGCTGATCACAAGCCTCACATGTGTGAGATCCTGGGTTCAATCCCTGGTGCATATATGCAAGGCAACCTGCTTTCAGAGAAGGAAAGATTTCCCTGGAGTAACCAAGGAAGGCTTGCTACAAAGGCAGCATTTTCAGGTTGCCCTTAAAAAACTAGTTCTTTTGCTTTGCTTTGTTTTGTTTGGGGGCCAGAGCCGGTGATCACTTAATCACTTGATCACTTGACATCCCGTTACTCATCGATTTGAGCCGGTGATGCTCAGGGGTTACTCCTAGCAGTATGAATGGGGACCCTGTAGGATGTCAGGGATCAAACCCAGGTTGGCCGTAGGCAAGGGAAGTGCCTGAAACACTGTATTATCCCTGGGGCCCTAAAAGATTAAATTCTAAAAGGCTGATATAAGATGGGAAAATGCTCTAAATGCTCATCATTTTGGAACTAGGTGATTGTCAGAACAATCCATAGCAGGCTTCTGTGACCCTAAATTAGTTTTAGCAACAGTTAACTGAAAGGGACCCAAGGCAGTGAAGACACCAGACCCACATCCAGATCACACTAGGTGTGAACAAACCTAAGAGCACTGGATGTGGGAAGGAGGGAGGGTAGATAGATACACACACACACACACACACACACACAAACACACACACACACACACACACATCTGTGAGTCATACAATGATGGTCTCTCAAGATAAGTGAGGGCAAGATGAGAGATCAGCAAATCAAACCAATGCCCATTTTTTTAAATTGCACCAAGTCCCAAAATGTTAAAATGGGCAAGAGGTACTGAGATGAAGTTTAAAAGAAAAACGAAAGAAAGGCAGCTAAATATATAGTCTCTTCTGTAGAAAGCAGTCACTTCACCCAGGACTCAATATCCAGCCTTTCAACGGCTGCCAACCCATGTATGTGATGTTGGCGGTTGAGCACATGCCATGTCCCCCTCTGCCTTTGTGCAAGTCAGAGGTATCTGTGAGCTACAGCGGCAACAGCAGCAGTCCCGGAACCCCAAGCACCAGAATCATCTAAGAACTTACCAGAAATGCGCGATTTTGCATCGCACTGCAGAGTTTCTGATTCAGTGGATGTGCAGCAACCACTTCTCCCAACACACAGGCCAGCTATAAACTACCATCCTCAGAGCCAAAACTCTGCTGGGACCCTGACTTCTCCAGGAACGGTATCTCCGGTCGGAATTCAGAGTTTCCCTTCAGGGAACTGCTAGACTGCTTGCAGAGGCGCACAATATTACACTAAGAGTCCAATAGATGTGCTAACAGCCAGGAACCTCTGCACTGCATCATTTACACAGAAACACAGTCCAGCAGAGGTAAGGACCACCCCTCTCCTAGTCAAAAAAGAAAGCCTAGAGGAGCTACAGTGACAGACGAGGGTTGCACATACCTGCACTATGTCCCAGTTCATTTCTGACTCCTCTTTATCACCAGTGTCATTTGCTGGGAACCTGACGGGCTGCCCCTGAGGACAGGATTCTGTCTTTATTTTCTTTAAAGGGGACTGACCAAACGTGAAGTCTTCATCCTCTTCCTTCTTGCACACTCCTTCCCACGTGCTGCTCGTGGCCGGGGTCTCCATCCTGCTTCCCCCACTCTCTGAGTTGCTGTTTTTGTTGGGGTCATCGGCAGCTTTCACCTTTTTGGTTCTCGGAGCTGAATTTTTCCTTTTTGTCTTTGCTGTTTTCAGAGTCTGAACGGTATCAGGTTTATTTTGTTGGTCTTCCAAATCCACATCAGCAATGGCCACAGAGTTATTCTATCAAAGCACAAGGAGAACAAGTGAGAATTAGAACGTAAAGATGAACTGTCTTGACTAGGCAATAGAAAAAGAAGAAATTACAGATACACACAGGAACTTAGAAGAATCTCAAGGAAATTGCAGTGAGTGCAGGGGGAAGAGGACAATCTCCAAAGGGCGTGAACGGAGCTCTGTGGGAAAGTACGTGCCTTGCATGTGTCACCTTTAGGTTCAGTCCCTAACACACACACACACACACACACACACACACACACACACACACACTTAGATATCATGGTTATGCTTTTCCAATCCTAAACAAACACATTGTTTGCAAGTGTCAGAGATGGGGGATGAGATGAGGTGGGACAATGGTAGGCGCCAGGACGACAACTCAACGGGAGACCAGGTGCCGAAGAGGGAAGAAGGTGGTGGGGGAAGGAAGGGAATGGGAATGGGGGAACGGAAGGGGAGAGGAATGAAGGGAAAAGGGAAAAGAACTTCCTGTGTTTCACTATGGGGCCCTAAACCCCTCTTTTCTTTTCTTTTTCGATGACACATGCTCTGTTATTTATATGCTCTGCGTAGGAAGTAACATCACCGTTAGGAGAACACCACAGCGTTTGTTCCCTCGAACCAGCTAAAGCACCTACCAGCTCCTGCTTCACGGTCACACCTGTTGGGCCACTGCTGACCCCTGGGGCGTTCTTCTTGGCCCGTGGCGCCCTCTTTGGTTTGGATTCCTTGGGAGGCTGCTTACGAGCTTTGGGGACTTTCTTTTGGGGCTCCCAGATACTATCTTCCTTGCTATCATCTTCAGAGGCCGATGATCTAGGAGAGTAAATTAAGAGAAAAATGTCCAGAAAAATGATGCCAAACGTGTGCGACCAAAAATAGAGAGATGAGGTTCCTGGAAAACCAAAGTAGGTGGTGATCAATAAGAAAATGGAATGATGGTATAAAATAAATATAAAACTTTTAAATGACATGATGGTCACAGACTAAGAACTGAAAAGAACAACAGCTGATAGGGGACCAATGTGAAAAATACCTAATGTCTTGTAAATCTCCTCTCACCTAGCCAACACACACACACACACACACACACACACACACACACACGCACGCACTCAAGACAAAGGAAATCATTGATTATTTTAAGTAATTTTCTGGGTCATGTCATGCCACAGTCATTGTGAATGTTTCCATGAATAATTTCCTAAGGACTAATCAAATTCATTTCAATTGCATTAAGTTATTCAAACTAATGTCAAGAGTAGGAAATAGCTCTAGGAAACACCCTCAATTACACAAAAAGGCAGCACCAAGACCCTCCAACATGCTCTAATAAACCCTGTATTTCCTCTCACAGGGCTGATTTGTTTCCTGACGAAACTACAGCAGTGCCGGCTAGGGTAGTTCTCTAACAATCCAACACTCACATTCAGGCAGCTCTGATCAAGGAACATCCCCTCAAGCCCTTGCCAACCCTGTCCAGTCTGTCGCTGCCTCTAATTCTATTGCCCCGATTGTAAAGGTCACTTATTAGTATACACGACAGCCGCTGCCCTCAAAGGCCAGAGACCGGGCACGCCTGGCTTTCCGAATGGTTTCAGCTCTGCCTGGAGACAAATACCCGCCTGGATGACTTCTTAGATAAAGTTTGCTCTGAAGAGTATAATTATAACACCTGCTCTTTAAAGGCGGTTTCTAGCTGAAGTCTAAGAAAAGGTCAAAGAGAAAGACAGAGAGCAGGATGAAGGAACCACTAAGTAAATGATGATTGGAGAAGGGGTGGAGCGATAGCACAGCGGGTAGGGTGTTTGCCTTGCATGCAGCCGACCCGGGTTCGATTCCCAGCATCCCATATGGTCCCCCGAGCACTGCCAGGAGCAATTCCTGAGTGCATGAGCCAGGAGTTACCCCTGTGCATCACCGGGTGTGACCCAAAAAGCAAAAAAAAAAAATTATGATTGGAGGGATTGCCCAGGATGGGAGATGGGTGCTAAAAGTAGACCAAGGCCCGAACATGATGGCCTCTTAGTATCTGTACTGCAAATAATGATGCCCAAAGTTAGAGTTTAAGAAGGATTGTACCTGCCACAGAGGCAAGGAATGGGATGGGGTGGGGGTGGCAGGTGGGACTCTGGGAACAATGGTGATAGAAAATGTACACTGGTGGAGGGACGGGTGCTCGAGCATTACATGACTGAAACATAATCATGCAAGTTTGTAACTGTATCTCACGGTGTTGCAATAAAATTTATTTTAAGAATAAATAAATAAACCACAGATTACAAAACTCTAATGAGAGAGAGACACAGAGAGAGAGAAAGAGAGAGAGAGAGAAAGAAGAGAGGAGAGAGAATCATTAAACAGTAGCTGTAGAACTGAATCAAGCAAGAATTTTTTATAAACAGGAATGAAACTTCCAGGGCTGCAGTCAGACTATCATGCAAATGCACGGAGTAAGTTCTTTCCTCGGGCTCAGTATTTATCAAGCAAAACTATGTGTCCCTTCTTCACACTGGATTACAAGCCACAAATGTCCTTTCAGTTCTCGTAAAGACAGACATAGTAGATGTACTATTTCATTACACACCGAGTTCTGAATCACCTGTCATTACCAAACCCACTGCACAAGGCAGCAACCATCGGTGCCCACAGACAGCACCTTCCTTCCACGAGCCCCAAGTTCCCCCTAGATTCCTGCCACCTTCCCCTAGGCTGCCTCACACTGGCTGCTCTTGTCAGCTTCCAAATGTGGAGTCCTCCAAGGCTGAGTCCTCAGCCCTCTTCTCTCTTGGTGAATGAATCATCCCATCCTATAGCAAAATACAAAGGAATCTCTACTTCATTTCTCAAGCTTGGTCACAGCTCTGGACTTGTGTGAGCACTTGCACTGGGGATCTTGCATGTCAAAGCTACGGAGAAGGAGCCCAGGGGCTGGAGAGAGCACGCCAAGGGCCGGGAGCAAGGACCTGGCAAGCTGAATTCTTTTGCTTGTTTGTTTTCTTTCAGGGGCCATACCCAGCAGTGCTCAGAGCTAACTCCTGTTCGCTCCTGGCGGGGTTCAGGGGTGCCAGGATCCAACCTGGGTCGACAACATGCGAAGCAAGTACCCTGTCTGCTACACCATTGCTCCGGCTTGCAAGTTGAATTCTTAGCACTGCTTATGACCCAGTACCACCAAGGGGAGCCCTAGTGGTCTCTGAACACATTCAGGAGTGTCCCTGGTGGCCAGCGGCACTGCCAGGTCCAAGCAGCACTGTATCAGCCCTCACACCCCAATCCCATCTATCCACACTGTCTCCTCTATCTTCAAAACCGCCCCAACAGCCCTCACCACTGCATATCAGGCTGCTTCAGCCATGTCCTTACCAACCCTCCCGCTTCTGCTCTTGCTTCCTTCGTCTGTTTCCCAGATTTATTTTCTATGAATGTAAACAGAAGCATGTCCCATGCCTGCCCTAAAGCCTTGGAATGACTTCCCAAGCCACTTCCATGAGAACCCGAACACCTGTCACAGTTTGTGGACCCATCAGACTCCGAGCTCACTTCCAATAAGAAGTGACTCTTCCTTGGTGTCTGAGGCACGACACGCTGGCCATGCTCTTCCGTGAACACGCCAAACTCGTTTCTGTCACTGTTACCAGATCTTTCCAGTAGATGCTCCCTCTAGGTAGAGGGAGGTACACTCCAAAATCTCATCTAGATGACTTGCTATAGCCTCCAAATCAACTTTCCTGACTACTGACCAAAGGTTCCCATACTTACAACCAACCCCTTGCTCTTTGGAAAAAAAAAAAAATTATGTATGTATATGCTTACAAGTCAGAGAAGGAAGAAAATTCATCTTTGGGTTCTGTAGCCTGGACCTTTATTTTTGCTCTTCTTGGCAATGATGTCATCTGGAAGAAAGAGAAAATGAAATCAATTTGATCTGAACCACTAGAATGATGATTTGTCATGGCCACAAAATGATGTAATATTTAAAACTGACATGAATAACCCTGCTGCTAGAAAATGCCTGTTAATCATTCATTCATCATCCTGTTATTCGTTGATTGCCTCGAGCAGGCCCCAGTAACATCTCTTTCATCCTAGCCCTGAGATTATATTCAAGGCTCTTTAGGAGAATGAGACCCATCATTGTTACTGGTATTTGGCATATTTGGTACGCCACGGGGAGTTTGCCAGACTCTGCCCTGTGTGAGAAAAGCCAATGGAAAGAAAAACATTCCAAATCCCATCTACCGGTAAATGTGTCTACTCTATCTTCTCAGATAGATGGGATCATCATGGCAGTGATTGTAGATGTGGGAGCATTCACAAGCACCAACATTTGTTCCTCCTCCATTTCTACCAATCAGAAGAGCAACTGATAGTCTTCTATTGGTATTAAAATATTTTTAGTTATTTATTTATTTTTTGGCTTTTTGGGTCACACCCGGCATTGCACAGGGCTTACTCCTGGCTCATATACTCAGGAATGACTCCTGGTGGTGCTCGGGATACCATATGGGATGCTGGGAATCAAACCCGGCATCATGCAAGAAAAACACCCTACCCACTGTGCTATCGCTCCAGCCCTGGTATCAAAATCTTGATGAGAACAAAGAGTATAGCAGATAAGGAGCTTGCTGTGCACATACATTCACCCCTGGGTCAAATCTCCGGTACCACATACAGCCCAGAGCACGCCCAGGAGTGATCCCTGAGAACAGATTCCCGCGTAAGCCCTGAGCACAACTGGGAATGGCCCTAAAACAAAAACAGAGCTTTACGAGACAGACCATCTTCTGAAACATATAATCTCTCAGTGAAGACAATTTCCAGTGTAAGTTAGAATTATATGCAAGCATATTTATATTTTGATTGTTTACTAGAAAACAAATTATAGTCATTACGTAATACCTTTGAAATATTTTTTTCCTTTGTGTCTTCTTATAATACACAGTACAGGCCTCTCAACTTTAAGTTCTTTCTTCCTGATATTTGGGCTTAAATGTCTCCACACATGATCCTGCGTCAAGTAAGTGCTGTTGGAAACTAATCATAAAGGATTAGGTAACATGATTTCTGTGTCAGATGCATTATACCACAATAAAATATAAAAAGACGGAGGTAGTTATGATGTCAATGTTTCAAATCAGAGCAGAAGTGGAATATTCAACTAGTGATATTGAGATAACCAATTATCTCTCTGAGGGGGAAATAAGTGTCTAACTCTTATCTCTATGCCGTGAACAAAAATATACTTCACCTTGACTAATGTTTGACTACATTCAAAATAAAAACTACAGGAGCCAGGGAGATGGTTCAATGGACTGGGACATGGGCTTTGCATATGGGAGCTCTGGGGTCCATCCCAGCACCATCTCGTCCCCAGGCACTGAGCCAGGAATAGCCTCTGAGCATTTCTGGGAATGCCCAAAAAAAGCAAACAAAGTTTATTTTAAGCTTAAATCAAACTACAAAAGGGGCCAGGGATGTAACTCGGCAACAGAGCACTAGCCTTGTATCTGTGAAGCCCTAGGTTCAATCCCTATCACTTCAAAAGCAACAGTAAGAATCCCCCCAAAAGAACTACAGCAATTAAACACTTGTCATAATTTTGAGGGGAAATACTTCCCTAGGGAGGACTCAAAATTCAAAAGCCAAAATGAATATCAGCATAGCTAACTATGTAAAATGAAAATCCCAAGCCGGCAGCAGGCACATTTCAGATCAATTTACTCTGAGTAAATAATTTCCAAGATATCAGGTGCTGCTTCCTGTTTTTGCTGAAAACCAAACAAGCAAAACAGGAAAAGGAGCCTGATGTCTTGAAAATCAAAGGGAAAGGGAGTAAGGGTTGAGATTAGTCAGTCTGATAAAGGAGCACCTCTAGGTGCTCTGCCCACTTTATGCAAGTAGGCAGCCTCCTAGGAAAAAGTCTGTAAAGCTTTGGTCTCTGGAAGGCAAAACAGAATGTCAAGACTAGCGAATAACAACAACAGTTGAGGGCACAGTCACCAAACAGACTGAATGCTAGACAGATACCCCAATTCTCTTCTCCCACTTAGCTCCCCAAATTAGCTTCCCAATTTGCCAGGCAAATCCTTACCCTCTGGGGAGAACAGGAAATTCCTTCTCTGGAGAATCTGGCCACTCTAAGAATAAGAGGGGGCAGAGCCACAGTACAGTGGGTGGGGAGCTTCTCTTGCACGGTGCGGCACCACACGTGGTCCCTGAACATTGAGCCAGGAGTAAGCACTGAGCACCACTTGGCACGGCCCAAAAACAAAACTAAACAAACCTGAGGATAACCAAGATCCCTACCAAAGAACTAAACTAGTTCACTCACTGTCTCCACATCCTTCAGCGTACCTGACTTCAGGGCATTCCCACACAAACACCAGCCATTGATTCTAACTCTACACTTCAGCCTTAACAGAAATCTGTTGAGAAAAGGGGTAAACAACCTTTGACAAGTGTATAATATTTTAATAATCACTGAAGGTTTTCTTGAAACAAGTCTTTCCAACTGCTCTTTTAGTAGGTCCCCTGGAGGAATGTAACCATGGAATAAGACGAAAACTTGTCTCCTGGCCAACTAGGAAAAATATAAATTTGAAAAGGTCAATGGGGAAAGAAGAACATGAAGGACTATCTAGGCCAATTCAGGCAAGTCCATTTTGAGAAAGAGTATAAACAGATGCTCAGGACCTAGAGATTTCTTAAAACCATCAAAGCCACATTCTACCCCCACATCCAGAGTATGCACACTGCAGCTCGAAGACCAGTGCTTCTTGCTCCCTTACTTCATGTCACCAAATCTGTAAAATAAATTCCTACATCATTTACTAAAAATCATATTAATATTTCCACCCCAAAGATTCATTCTGAATTAAACGCCTGCCTGTAAAACTTTTAAGATGCCTCACAGTTAAACATAATGGAACTGCTGGTTACCATTTCTCTTCCTAAAACCTGATCCTACCCCAACTCAATAAATGGCACCTGCTCGCTATGACCAGTCTTTGGGGAAATTATTTTGGGGGGGGGGGGGATCACTCCCAGCGATGCTCAAAAGTTACTCCTGGCTCTGCACTCAGGAATTACCCCTGGCGGTGCTCAGGGGACCATATGGGATGCTGGGAATCAAACCCGGGTCGGCCACGTGCAAGGCAAACGCCCTACCGGCTGTGCTGTTGTTCCAGCCCCTCTTTGGGGGAAATTCTTTCAATGTTATTGAGTCATAACTGAAAACCAACTACAACAAAGTACACTAATTGATCATGTCTCCATACTCATGATATTGAGCAAAACTGTTATTCTCCAAAGTTTAATTTACCGAACAAAAAATGTACAGCTGGAGCCATAGCCATAATGCAGTGGGTAGGGTGTTTGTCTTGCACACAGCAGACCCACGTTCAATCTGGCATCCCCTACGGTCCCCAAAGGAATGATTCCCGAGCACTAAGCCAGGAGTAAGTGCTGAGCACTGCTGGGTGTGGCCCCAAAATCAAAAAAAAAATTTCAACTGTGCAGATCTTTCTTTTCCTCATCTCCCCTATCAGCAAACCACATAAAGTCTTCCTCCAAAATATATCTTAATCTTTGCTTGCCTAAAAGTGAGTCTTTGCCACAACACCCAAAAGGAGAGAGAGAACACAGGGGATTGCCCTGCCACAGAGGCAGGGGAGGATGGGGGGATGGGGGTGGGGGGGATATTATCCATGGTGGTGGAAAATGGGCACTGGTGGAGGGATTGGTATCTGATCATTGTATAATCAAACCCAAGCACAAAAAAATTGTAAATCTACAACTGTACCTCATGGTGTTTCACTAATAAAAAAAGAAAAATAAAAAAAATAAATAAAAAGTGAGTCTTTGGGTCCCAATCTTTTTCACCTGGACTACTTACTCTTGAAAGACCTCCATGCTTCCACCCTTGCCACTACATCTCATTCTCCACATATCAATCCAAAACATCACTTAGCACTGACCACACTGACACCAGCACTGCGATTTGTGTTAATCAAACCACATTCAACTGTGAGCCACCAGTGGGACGCAGAAGTGTCACTGTGTTTTAAAAATCACTTAATGGGCCAGGTAATACAGCAGGTATGGCACTGGTGTTGCAGGTGGCCAACCCTGGTTGATCCCTAGCATCACATATGGTCCTCAAGTAATGCCAGGAGTAATCTCTGAGTGCAGAGCCAGGAGCAGGCCCTGAGCAGCACCAGGTGTGGCCCCAAAACAAAACAAACAAAACATTTAATAAAATGAAAAACGTCTATGACTTCCCACGCCATTTTCCACTTGAGTCCAATTTGTTGACCACTGCTTTCTAAAATGTCCATCTACCTTTCTGATCAGGACCCTTCCTTCTCACCTTAGGCCTTCAGTTTCCTGGATAATGTCGGATACTATTTACCTGAACAGAGCATTCCTATTTAGAGTGTTCTGAGATTTCCTTCATTCAAGTCTTCCTACCCGAGAGCACTGAGTACATTGAAAAATCAATGAACTTGGAGGTTGCACTCATGTTACTAAGAAAGGACGCACTGAACTAGGGGAAATTAAAGTCAAAGGGACGGAAAGTCTTGCGCATACACAAATATTTCACTGAAATTGGCAAAACCCCAGTTCGAACACGTATAGAGACAGAAGAGAACTCCTTGGGTGGCACCTGCATTCTCCCTGGAGGCATCAACATGAGTGTCCAGAATGTCGGCACAGACCCCTAACTAGCAATAAAGCAAAACATCAGAGTTGGAAAACTGCCTCCCGTTTTCCTTGGGTGAGGAAGAAGCCTGCGATGCACAGAGGTGGAATGGTTTACTCCAAGGCCCAGGCTCCGTGGCCAATGGACTAGCAATCCCGGGTCCCAGGATCCTGGCGGGGCTTGCTCCTGGTGCACGTCTGTGCGGGCACGCGGCCGGCGTGGCAGGCTGCGGGAGGAAAGCGCCCGGGTGCCCGTTGCACGCCTCTGCCACGACAGCTGGCCAGCGCCAGACTCGGGCAGGGCCAGGCTCTAAAGGCGGAAAGGGCGCTTCCTCCCCGACCTCCGACTCCTGGAGGTGCCACGGCAACCCAGCCTGGCCCGGGCTTTCCCGGGTCTGCCTCTCTGCACCCAGCGCGGCTGCAAGCTGGCTGGGGTTTGCTGGGTTTTGCCGGGTGCGATGCAGCGGCGGGCAGGAGGGACGTCTCACTTTAAGCGAGGGCGCTATGTCATTAAACGGGCACGCACGCTGCAAAACGGCCCCAGAAACGCCGGCGCCGGAAAGCCGGACACGCCAGCGCCCGGGCGGGTTCTCAAGCTCACCTTGCAGCCCGGCGCGTCTACCGGGCCCGGGGTTCGGGGCTTGCGAGCGCGTCTTCCGGTTCCCGCCGGAAGTTTTTCAAATGCCGGAAGTCCCGCCCCCGCTCTCCGGGCCCCGCCGGGAGGGCGCTGGGCTTTCGGGCCGGGCGGGGCTCTGCGCGCATCCCGGGCCGGGGGCTCCAGCTGCACCAGAGAGACCTGCATGGGTGTGCGGCCTCCAGGTCATAACCCACCCAGTCTCTTTTCCCCTTCTAATTTTTTTTTCCGGCTCACACCCAGCGATGCGCCCGACTTTGCACGTTACTCCTGGCTGTGCTTGGGGAACCATTTGGGATGCTGGGAATCGAACCCCCTTCGGCCGCGTGCAAAGCAAACGCCCTACCTGTTGTGCTTATGTCTCCAACCTGCAACCCCTATTTTCCTTTCTAATTTGAAATCAAGAGCTTTTGTCATTGCATCGTTTTTAGTTTGCAGTAGGAAATTTGAGAGGCACTTAAACTTTATTTTTCCTTTTGGGTCACACTCGGCTGGATTCAGGGTTTATTTAGTCCAGGGGTTACTGCCCTGGCGGTACTCGGGGAACCATAACCGTTGCCAGGGACCAGGCTGGAGGTTCCCCTGTTCCCCCCGCCCGCCCTCCCCGCGTTGCAGGAAAGTGCCTCAACCCCCACACTGCCTCTTGGATCCTTAAGTTTTTTTTTCCTTCCCCTGAAGTCGAAGTAAAAAGTTAGCGGCCATAAGGTTTCTTAGCGTATTTTTTTGGTATTTCATTCTTTGCTAAGCCCGGAGATAAGAGATTTGTTTGCTCCGGTCGTAAACATAGCTAAACAGTGCCTCTTTTTATGAGCATTTGAGTTTTTGCCCCGGAGTTGTCACTATCTCGATTGATAAGCTGCCCTCTCTCCCAGGCTGCTTGCTTGGCAGTCTTCCAAATACATCAACTCTTTGCAAGCCTGGTACCCTACCTAGTAGTTCCACACAGGGCCTTATCTTTTGGTCTCTTCAATTACCTCCTCCACCTTGCTGCTTGCTAGATAAAAAGCACTGGATAAGGCACTCTCTTAATTTCCTTGAGACAAATGCAAATCCCAGTTACCTGTCCTTGACTATAATGAAAAAATTCTACTCCCATTTCATTTTCAGTTCTTAAAAAGTGAGTTGATGCCTGATATCTTCCATAAGTCCTCCTCCAGACCCATCATTTCCATTTTCCTTCCCATAAAACACAATAGCTCCCGCTTTAAATTACACTGAAGCCAAACCTTCTTCCATGTCCTGAGTCTCTCTTTTTTTTTTTCACTTACCCAGTTTTTAAAAACTAGAAAGCAATCTCTAGCAAATTTTTCCTTTACCCTGAATATATTTATATATTTCCATTATATGTTCTCAAAATCAGTTCTTCCTAGAAGTCAAAAAAATGGCCTGGGTTTTTTGCTTGTTGTGGGGTGAAGGAGTGGAGGAAGGGGAGGGGCATTGCATTTTTTTTAACAAGCACACAAAACTCTGAACTCACAGAAAGAGATGAAGGAAAAAATGAGATTGTAAAACTGGGAAATAAAAGTACTGTTGAGGGGCTGGAGCGATAGTAAAGCGTTTGCCTTGCACGTTTGCCTAGATTCGATCCCCAGCATCCCATATGGTCCCCCAAGTACTGCCAGGAGTAATTCTAATTCCAGAGTGCAGAGCCAGGAGTAACGTTTGAGCATTGCTTGGAAGCAATGTCCACTGTAGCACTGTCCTCCCGTTGTTCATCGATTTGCTCGAGCGGGCACCAGTAACGTCTCACAACAAATTGTGAGACTTGTTACTGTTTTTGGCATATCTAATGCATCAGAGGTAGCTTGCCAGACTTTGCCGTGTGGGTGAGATATTCTCGGTAGATTGCCGGATCCAGATTAGAATTTAACACATCAAAACTCCAAGGGTTTATTGTGGATAGTTCTAAAGGGTGACTCTCAGATTTTGTGTCCTCTAGCAAGCAAGCTGTTGCATGTTGCAACACCCCATGAGTAGGTAAAGAGAACATAAATCTCGCTGGATAGGAAGGATTCTTTGGTAGGGGGTTGGGGAAAGGAGGTGCCTCTCCAGCAGTGCAGGAGTCAGAGGACACTCTAGACAATAGTGAGGCCATTGCCCTCTGTTCTCTCTGGAATTCTGGAACCAACAGATGGGGGTGGGCGGTGAGGGCACCAAGGCTAAACCCAGTGGTGCTTGGAGGGCACAGAATCCAACACTAGGCATGCTCCAAGGTCCTTTGAACTATCTCCTGAGCCTCTAGGGCTCTTTTATTTATTTATTTATTAGCTTTTGGGTTCACATCAGGGATGCACAGGGGTCTGGCTTTGCACTCAGGAATTACTCTTGGCATTGATCAGGGGACCATATGGGATGCTGGGAATCGAACCCGGATCGGACGCATGTAAAGCAAACGCCCTACCTGCTGCGCTATTGCTCCAGCCCCTAGGGCTCTCTTTATTTGGTAACTATTCTTCTCTAAGATCATTGATCAATAAGGACCCACTTCTGAAATTATTTCAGCATGGTTTTTCCTTCTTCCCATGCAACTTTATGTGGTCTTTTGAAGTGATCACACAGAATGGTTACAGTCACAATCTTCTACACAATGTCTAGATCTAAAAGAGCACTGGAGGACATGTTACAATTCAGGGTTATGGGGAGGGAAACCAAGTTACAATAATCATCAACAATTTATAGTTCACCTACTTTTAATGTCAGCTTTTCTCCACATGTATTTATAGCATGTGGTAATTAAAGCAAGGTAATGAATAGGCAATAAAATCTCTTGATATTATTTCTGCTCTGGAGGAATCTACAGATAAGACTAGGGACTAGACATAGCCACCAAAAAAACCCATGCAAGATTGTCTAGGCACTGAGGAAATGGCATGGATTGTAGGGCACATGCCTAGCATGTTCAAAGCCCCTGAAGCAGGTAAGGGACCTCTATTACTTTTAGGAAGTAATAAAATCAAGATGTGATTTTATTCAAAGAAGTTACTGTCACTAGCCCTAAAGCATCCCAAAAACATGAAAGCATGTCCCACTTTGTGAATGCAGGAACAGAGGCCCATAAGTCTAACTGGCATCAGCACTGCCAAGAGAAGGGTCAATGCCCCCCAGGAGAGGAGAAGCTCCAATACGAATAAAAGGCGATGATAAGAAAGTAGACCAACAAACATTCAAAGCTTTTCCACCTGATAATGCCTTAGCAACAGACTCTTACATAGAAGACCTCAAGAGGGAACCATTTGGAAAAAGCCCCATAGAATCACCTTCACTTCTGGTGGGAATACCATCTGATGCATCCATTTTGGGGGAAAAAATGGATATTTCTGAAAAAACTAGGAATTGATCTTTCATACGATCCAGCAATTTGGCTTCTTGTTTAACACAAGGGCCCAAAACCTCTATTCAGGAAAGACATTTGGACACCTATGTTCATTGCAGCATTATTTACAATAGCCAAAATCTGAATACATCCCAATGTCCAAGAGCACATGACTGGACAAAGAAACTGGGACACATACACAATGCAATACTACTCACTATCAGAAAAGACAAAAACACACAATTTCTTCAGCTTAGGTGGATCTTGTCATGCTGAGGAGAGGGACAGATACAGATAATCTACCTCCTACCAGGATTAAAGGAAAATAGTAAGGAAATAAAAAGTGCCCAAAGGCAACAGGACATGAGATCTAGTCTTCAACAGGAAACTGACCATGTCAGGGGAATGACGGGGTAGGGGGAGAGATTGAGGGACAGGAGCACTGGGACACTGGGGGAGGGAAGCAGACATTGTTGGGGAGGGTGTGCTGTTGGAATGGTTTCTGCATGAAGTCCTACCATTATCAATATTGTAAATTATGGTACCGAAAATAAAATCGTAAAAAGTCACATAGCTTGGAGACATAGTAATAGTACAGTGGGTAGGGCATTTGCCTTGCATGCAGTTGACTTCGGTTTGATCACTGGCATCCCATATGGTACCCTGAGCACAGCCATGAGTAATTCCTGAGTGCAGTGCCAGGAGTAACCCCTGAGAATCTCTGGGTATGACCTAAAAAGCAAAAAAAAAAAGACATGTTGCAAAAGTAAGCAGTGTTCATCCCTATTCTGGGGGTCACTTGCATCTCAACCTGGGATTGTCATTCTTTCCTTACTTTATAGGTTACCCTTGGCTCTGTTGCCTCTGGAGAAGCCAGGTTCTCTCTTGAGTGCCTTGTACTTTCTCTCTCTCTCTCTTTCTCTCTTTCTCTCTCTCTCTCTCATCCCTAAATACAATCACTTTACTTTACTATTCATCTTTTGAATTCTTTTCTGTGAGGGAAGATGAAGAACCTAGAAAACTTAGGCAGCGGTCAGGATGAATTTTCCTTTTCCTGCAGAAAGCAACCCCTCATCCCTGCCTGAGGTCACAGCTCCCTGAGAACTCAGCTGGTAGGGATCAGGCAGACCTTAGGTGCAATTTTTTTTTCTTAGGTGCAATTTGACAGCTGCCTTGTGGATCTGGTGGTGAGTTGCTAGTATTTATACCATGTGGCTGCACACAACAGACTTTTCTAATCCTACCCCCTCAAAAAACACTTCCCCCAGAGAGATCAAATGGTTTCAGCAGGAGAGTTCTCTCTCTTTCTGTGTGTGTCTCTCTCTGCCTCTCTCTCTGCCTCTCTCTTTCTCTCTCATTCTCCATGTCTTCCACCAACATCATTTGAGGAACCATTCAAGAAACCTACATTATTTAGTAAGGAAATTAGGTTGACTGCTTCACCCCCATTTCAGAGTTGTAGGGGGAAGCATTCTAGATAGAAGTATTACACTCTGGATGAAAGAAGCCACACAATACAGTCAGAACAAGAATGAGGGGTTAACCCGCATAGAGTTAACCTTACTCCCTTCTCCCCAACCAAGGTATTAGCCTTTCAATGAAAGAAGAAAAGTATTTCTAACTTGTTTTGTTGTTGTTTGTTGGCCACACCTGGAAGTTTTCAGGGCTTATTCCTGGCTCTGTGCTCAAGGTTCACCCCTGGCGGGGATTAGAGGACCA